GGCAGCGGGAGACCCCAACACGCTTGATCCAATCCCTGAAACAATTCCTCAGCCCCATCCCCGCAGCCACTTCAGCTGCGACCCATTTCGGCTTCACTCCGCTGCCGGCTCGTCCCTGCCATCCCAACCCAAGGAAGGGGATACAAAACCCTTTTGGGGCCACAGCATTCCCCCTAACCCACATCCCTCCTCCTCCCCAGTCTCCATCCGCAGCGAAAGCCCCGCTGGCAGCACGAGGTGGGGATTAGGGCGAGACTAATGCGGGAGCCCCGCAGCCACCTCCCCCCGGCATCAGAAAAGCCAGCAGAAACCTTAAATCAAATGCAGCTAAGTACAATTGCAAAGCTGCAGGCGCAGGCCTGAGAGAGCATTAAGCAGCATTATTATGGCTCGGTGTACTGCCGGTAGTGACATTACCGCAACTTAAAATGTTTGGGATCAGAACTGCAGAATCTATTCTTTTCTGTGGGTTTTGCCTGGGCTGCATTTCCATTTTTCTGAAGAAAATACCTGTTTGGCTCAAACAACCTTCTGCACTTTACCGTTCAGCTCTCCAGGGCTTTTCTTGCCTTCCTGCTCCCCATTGTACGTCAAACGCGGACGGCTGCTTCGCCCTCACTGCAGCATCCTGAAGGAGCATCCATGCTGAGTCCAGACATTTTCCTTTACCCGTCCTCGCTGCCAGGTCGTCTTTATTCGCTTCCTTTTTCTTTTTTTCTCCAGTTTCCCTTTCTGAAGTTGAGTGACACTGTGCTAATTTGTAGCCTGACTCCTCCTGAGACTATTGAGCTTAATTATATTTTTCTCATCGTTGGTGAATGGCTTGGCTATAATTATGCCGGGAAGTGCATTACTTAGGACTAACCTGAGAACAGCATCCCCTCCGGGGTGCTAGGGATCGGCTGCTCCGATGAGCTGTTATTTAAGGTGCTGAACAACAAGGGGCCCCACGAAGCTTGCGCTGGAGAGGAGCTGAGTCCTTGCCAAATGCCGTCCATCTCTGGGACTCACATCCCTAGCACCGGTGACGGCCCTTTCTCTCATAACTAGTCCAGCCACTAATTACAAAACCTTGAACTGTGGTAGCAGAAGGAAATCCTGGAGAGAATTAGGGTCTGTCTGCCCTGCATTAAAGCTACCATCATCCCTTGCAGAGAGCTGGAGTTGGTCCTGAGTTCCCCCCAGTGCTCCACGTGCATCTATCCACCACGGCCAGCGGCTGTGCTGAAAGCCAAGGGGTGAGGATGAGCTTTCTGGCCCACCTCTCTTGCCTGGATATTATATTTTAGTTGACCATGACACACCAGTGCCTACGGACAATTCGCCTTAGGTATGAACATTATCACTAATGAGACGGGAGCCAGTGTCTCCAGTGCATCCTTCATCCTTCCAGGGTAGCAGCAGAAAGAGTGATGGCTCTTGGCTGATATGAGAGGGGAATGAAGCACCCCATAGCACAAAGTGGACACCCTGCACCTTCATTTTAAATAGACTGAAAAAGGGCTCCCTCCCTGGCTACCTCTGAAAACCGATAGTTGATATCAACAGTAGTTTTTCAGACCTGATTCGTAGCCCTTCTCACCCATTGACTCTACACGAACTATTTCAGTGAGCGGGAGATATAAGAGGAAATTAAGTGTTATTTCATTTTAATTGCACTGAAGAAAATTTAGGAGAATCATCTACCGAACCTAAAAATTATTCCTTAAATAAGCTTACTTTTCTGTGTCACAGATAACATTGTACTTTTTTCAGACTAAAACAACTTTAAGAATGCAATTTACTTGTCTTCAGTACACTATGTTTTTAGCCTACTTTCCTCAGGAAATGGGGCTTACTTATGTGATTGTGCTGTTTATATATCTATATGCCATCACTCCCACACTAATAACTTTTGAACGTGTTGGCCAATTCCAACCAAATCTGACAGAGCGGTAGAGTTTTCAAAAATACTGAATTCTTACAAATTTAATGAAATACGTGGGTGGGCACATATTTTCCCCCACCAAGGGAAAGGCTGCAGAGTGAACTCAGCCATATTATTAGACAGAAGAGAATACACACACACACACACACACGCACGCACATCCACAGACACACACCAGTGCTGTTATAAAATCCCCAGGTGCTGGTAAGCCAGAGCTCACGTTGGTATTAGACAGGGGATATTGCACCCCTGAGCCCCAAAGCCACCGAAATGAGCATCAGGATTCCTCCGCCAATGCGCCCACCGCCTATTTTGTGCATTTCTTTCCGTTTGGACGATGCAATTTGGTGTGGGCACTGCAGGGGAGTGTTTATTCATTTAGAAGCTTTAAAATTAATGGGACTAATTGTATGAAAGCCTTTCTAGGTGGTTCTAGGTTTGTAAAACCTTGCTCTCTTCTGGTTCTGCATGCTGAGAGGCTGTCCCTGCAAAATCCCTCGCAAAGGGGAACAGCTCGAGCCGAAGGATCGCACGTTTCAGACAAAGCAACTCTCCCTGCTTGCATGCCGAGGTCCTTGGGCCTCTCCTGCGTGCAGCCGAATTGCAAACCCAAGACACCCTCCAAGACTTTGGGGCTGAGCCTGTACGCCCACCTAATCCCACCCGCCCCGCGTCTCCGGCAAAGCCTAAATCCTGCGATCCTGCCCGGCTGTAGCCGAATGGTTTGACTCTCTGTTGCTAGGTTTTGGGGCCTCAGCATAAGCCATTAACACAGGCAGGAAAAATTCCCGGGACGGATGTCATTCGCGGTTGGTACTCCAGCACTAATGCAGAGCGCTCGTCACGTTGGAGTCTGTCTGTCCCCGGCTCGCTCAGCGAGAGATGGGCTGCGCGGCAGATCAATAAATGGCTTTTCAACACGCCAGCAGCCCTCGTGCACCGGAGGCGATGGCTGTGCCATAAAAAGAGCAAAGCCCCGGGTTCCCAGCGCTTGCTTTCTTCCACGTGTCTAGTCAAGAACAGACTAGTTAAGACTGAGCGCAAACGGTGGAGGGAGCTGGGCTGCAGGATGGAGATGTTGGGTTGCCCACGGAGCGTTTTCTGGTGGGACCAGGTTCGGTCTCTGACGGAGTATCCTCAAAGCAGCGCGCTCCCATTCATTTATTGCTTTGCGTCTTCACTGATGATTAAAGGGGTCCTCTGGGTGGTTCCCAAATCCCACAGCTTTTCTCCTCCTTCCTGCCCATGCGTGATCATGGGCTGCATCCTCCCTCCCAGCACTGCTGCTGCTCTCCAGCAGAGCTCAGGACCATTACCCCAGCTGGTACAGGGGAGGAAGGCATTCATGCCCTGGCGTTCCTATCTGATTTGATTTTTTCCTTCTCCTCTCTCATAATTAGAAGGTGGAACATTACATGCCAAGAGCTCATTAAGCATTTCCAACATGGCCGGGGGGGGGATGTCATATCTCTTCCAGCTCCCACTCTCGTGGCTTTCCAGGACCATTACCACCTGGGGACGGAGGATGCTCAGGTTCTCAGACCCAGCATCCCACGGCAGACTAGAGCTCCACATTTCCAGGATTCAGGCCTTTGTATCAAGGCATTCACATCCCCAGATCACAGGGAAAGATCTGGTCTTTCCGCTGCTCTGCAGTCTGTTTCCTACCTGGCAATCTAGTGGGATTTTTTTTTTTTTTCCAAAGCTTTGACAACAATTTGGTACAACATCAGCTCGAAAGCATCATCAAGCCCAAATATGCTCCCAAAGCAGGCCTGGGAGTCTCATTCATATTGCAGATAAGTCATCGGCAGACATGCTGATAAAGATTTCAAGTGTGACTCTGCATACAAATGATCCAGACCCAACAATTAATCCAGCACAGGCGGCTGAGGAGGTACCTGGGTTTTTCCCCTGTCCCCAGCCCTTTTTCCCCAGCTTGGCTGCTATATAGCACTTGCTCAGAAACCAGAAAGGAATGTCCACGCTCTATTAAACCAACCCTAAAAAGTGATACAAGGAACCCTGAATTCGGCAGAGGAGCCTTTCCTCCTCGGCTCACCTCTTGTCTGGGTGCTCGCTGCAAGTCACGAAGCTCCAGGCTCATTTTGGGAGCCAGCCTGAAGGCGCTTGAGTTGGCCCTGCTTTGAGCTGGGAGATGGACCCTATTTCGACCTAAATTAGACATGACGCCTTTCTCCCCCTCCCTCCTGCTGGTTTTCAGCCGGATCAGGTCCCTGCTCTGAATCACTGAGTGTTTTCATGATGGCTACAGCCAGCCCCAGGAATGGGGGCTTCCTGGGGCTTGTAGGAATTATTTGGGCACCCAGATCTGCTGCTTTCTAGAACAGCCTTAGCGAAGGCAAACCCTCCCCAAGCATCAGCTGCAGCCAGCGATTTGACAGCTTTTCCACTCAAAACCTCTTTTGGGAACAGAAATAGCTGGGAATCCTCCCAGCACAGGCCAACCCTGGGATGGTTCATCTTGGCTATGTCAGACAGAGGATACAGGCAAACAGCATCTCAGGAGCTATTCTGCTAAGGGTATCATCCTACTTATTAAAGAGGCTAGGGAGAAAAGGAGGAAGATAACCCACGGATAACCTCCTAAGTGACAGCTATCAGCCTGTGAGCCCCACACCGTGACCCACAAGTGCAGTCCCACCACGATGCCACCTCCCCTGCACAGGCTGCAGCGAACGCACCGCTCTGGGTGACCCTGCATGGCCTCGCCGGCTGGTTCGGGAAGGTCATGCATCCACAGCCCGCTCGGAGTTAGCAGAGGGACAATTCGGCTTGGATCCAGCCCATTTTGAACACCACCCATGAGGCTTGGGCAAGCCCAGCGGCTTGGCTTTCCAGAATGCTGCCCGCTCCCGCTGTGGGGTCCAGATAGCACCGACCGCTGCCTGTGCCCACCACAACGCTTGCCTGCCTCCAGCAGCTTCCCTAAAATCCCCCCCCCCCAAGCACCTATTACCGCAAAAAGTCTTATCCCACTTCTCCCACCAAACCGCAGCCGTCAGGACGAGACCCATGCCGAGACGCCGTGTCGTGACAGGGACCACCTTACCTGGACGCCGCGATCTCCGCTTTCTGCTTGGCGATGGTGGCTGCCCGCTCGGCCGCCTCGACGGCCCGATCCACCTTCTCACGGATCTTGCTGGCCCGCAGCGGGATGAGGTTCTTCCTCTTGCCGCTGACCAGGATGTTCTGCTTGTACTTGCCCTCCTCCTTGGTGCCGTCGGGGAACGTCATGCAGCCGTAGCCGTGGCGCTTGTTGTTGGCCCATTCTCCCTCGTACTTCAGCCCGTCCGAGCGCTGGCTCACCCCGAAACCTGACCGCTTGTCGTTCTTCCACTCGCCAACGTAGATCTCGGTGGTGGTGGCGTCGATGTCGTCTTCGATGACGGAGAGCTCGGCTTCGCCCTCGCCCAGGCTGATGGTGGAGTTGATGTCGCTGGCGGTGGAGCTGACCGTGCTCATCCCGGCTTCGCTCCGGAAAGAGCTCTGCTTGCTCCGCTGGCTGGCCAAGGAGCTCTTGGACTCGGACTTACGGAGCTTGAGCCCGCTCAGCAGCGACCGCCGGAAGATGCCCTTCTTCTTGCTCTTCAGGATCTCGGCATCGCTGTGGGCCATGAGGACGAAGCCACCCCGGGAGACGGCAGGGCTGCCGGCCACCGCCGGCGAGGAGTCAGGGTGCAGCGCCGTGCCGTTGGTGTGCTCGCTGCGCAGGGAGTTGATGGACGTCCTCAGGGGTGACCTGATAACCGCAGCCATGCCGTAGGGAACGCTCTGCCGGACGCCGTAACCCTGGCGCATCCCTCCGACCCACTGGCCCTGGTATGTCCCTGGGAAGAGGAGACAAAAGCAAAGAGGGGTTTCATGGCATGGCATCCCGTGGACCACTAACCGCATCCTTTACAAGCCCTTCGTTAGCGGGGACAGCAAAATGCAGCTCTGGATCCCAGTCCCATCTCCGTGACAAGGATTGTAATGTCACATTGTGGGAGGAAAAAATAACATCTTGGTTGGATTGCAGGCACACACTCCAGCTGCAGCGCAGAAATATCAGAAACCAGCCAAGGCATCGCTGAGCATGGAGCGACGCTTCGAGGAACTGCCCCTTAGATCAGCCCCTAATTTGAAAGGGAAGGGAGCGGGGAGACGGGGTAGGGGAATCGTTATCCAGGAGCAGACTCCGATCCCATCCATGCTGCCGGCAGTGATCAAAGCGGATGGTATATTACAATGCATTTATTTATATACACAGCGCCTTTCATCCGGCGCGTAGCGGAAGGGAGAGGCTCTATAGAAATAAAGGCCTCATGGGGAGACATCCATTTGGTTATTCTCCTTGGAAATGTGCCCCTGTTTGAACTCCTACATTTGCGTGGGCATTTACTGGAGTTGCTTAACTGGTCGTTAGCGGGATGAAACACACACGGGACCTCGCCGCAGCCCTGGGAATGGAGGCACAAGAAACCCATCCAGACCGGGAAACACAACCGGAGCATAACGCCTGCCCTGTGCACCGACATGCGTGGTGATAATCTGCCCGGGGTTTATAATCCCTTCCCCTCCTGGAGCTCGGCGATTGGCACGCTTTCTCGTTTTATCCCAGCCGGTTGAACTGCAGGGCTTGTTTTTATTCTTAGGTCGGCTTAATCTTTTCTGGACTAGCTTGAGATGCACTGATTCACTGCCCGCCTAAGCCCTCGCGGGGTGAATTGATGAGCCCGAGGACGGCTCCTCGCCTGGCACTGGTGCTACTGGGATGCCGTGGCCGGTTCCAGCCTGGGGCTGCCCTGCTGCCTCCCATCCCCGGCCGGTGATGCAAAGAGCAGGGCCCCACGCTGGGATGGCCGCAGGCAACACCTTGCAGCATCGGGGCCTCCCTTCGCACCAGCCCCGCTCCCTCTCGCCAAAGGAGTCTTAAAATAGACTTGCTGAAACAGTGAACCCGGTGAGAATCAAACCGAAACGGCCCCGATGAAAACAGCCTGGATGATTACTGCCGGCTCAGTCCGATAGAGGCTTTCCATCCCCTCTCTGCACAAGATGCTCTTTGCCCTTAGCGATCAGGCCACGATTCACAGACATGAGCAACCCGGGTCCACCTGAGCCCGCTCTTTTGGCTGCAAAAATTTTGTTCCTTGAGACCCATCCGCCTTGCTGCAGCGTGTTCCCTCCTAACATCTTCCACCATCCCAGCGGAAGGGATTATTAAAACAGGCTGTGCTGGCCATCCTCAGCCCAGATAAACTCTACTCTCACTGCAAGGAGCAATCCCAACCCTAAGCTACGCATCCTTTTGCTCTGTTTCATTCCTCATCCCGATCCTACCCCCAGGGCTCCCTTAGGGGTTTCCACTGCCCGCTCCCTGGGGTCAGCAGTAGCTCTGGAGATGGGCACAGGCTGGAGCAACTCACGCTGAGCACGGGAACTGTTTCCCAAGAGCATGAAACCAGCACCCAGGCACATTTTGGGGTATATTTTGGGGTGCATCATCTGTTTTATCTAACAGCTCCTAGCACTTTGTACAACCCCCCTGGGGCTCAGACATCCTCCTCGGTGCTCCGATGCAAGCAATCCCCCAAGGTGCTACATTATCTGAGTGACGGCCTTGTGCACCCCAAAAAAAAATGCCAGCCCCAAGCTAGGGGACCCCACAAAGACTGCCTCAGAGAAGGGACATGGAGAGGCAGGGCCAGGTGGGCAGGATTTACCGAGGTTTTATAGGATTAGCACCGGGGAGGGAGGCAGAGAACCGGGATTATGGCAGGCACCAGCAGGGCAAAAGCAAGGAGGTGGTGGCAGTGCTGGTATGGAAAAGGATGGGGGACAACCAGCAAGATGGTGGGCAAACAGCTCGGAGGAGACATCAGACATGTCCTGTGGTTGGGTTTGAGCAGTGAGCCTGGCTTGCCCCGCTGCAGCCCACTTTGGTGTCCCCAAGAACAGGCAACGACCGATGCCGTGCACCCACAGCTCTCCCCATGCCCAGTGGTACCCTGGAATGGTGCCTGTGGCAGGGGAGAGCGCACCAAGCCGTCCGTCCATCCCCCGCAGACTTGGCGCCGTCTTGCTCCCCTTTCTGGTTCCTTCCCAGAGCATCTCAGGACAACCTTCTGGGGGTGATGGGCAGCAGCTAGGTGAGAGAGATTTCACCCAGCACCCCCGCAAAGGGAGCCCCCAGGATGGCTTGGGATGTCCTCGCACCACGCTCAGCCTCCTGTTTCCCCTAGAGATGGATTCAGTGGGTTTCAGGGAAAGATGCCAGTGAGGGCAAGGGGACAGGGAGAAAAGGTCCTGCATGAGATCCGTCAGAGCTGCCCTGCCCAAGTCCTGGACTCCCTTTCCCTCGGCTGAACCCCTTGAGTCAGTCCCTGTCCCCAGGCAGGTCCCTTGACCTCCCTGTCCCCTAGCAAATCTCCAGCTGAAAAAAAAAAAAAAAGCAGATTAAACTGAAGCACCATAAAGCAAGCTCGGCCCTTTGCTGAAAACCAGAGGCAGCGGCAAAAAGCAGAACAAAGCGCTCTCGGAGCAGGCGTGACAGCGCATCTCAGCTGGAGCAGAGGTGGCAAATTGGTCACAGCAGGTTACAGCTGCAGCCAGCGCCTGTGCGTATCTCCAGCAAGGCAGAGGTGCCTGGGAAGCTGTCATCTTTGCGTGGCCTTAAAACCTACTCCTAGAATTGCCAGGCTGCCAGGAGCAATCGCTGCATCTCCTTGGCAAGGCTGATTTTTCTAGGCAGAGGATACAAGGACTTGAGGAGCCATCCCAGCCTGTTTCTCCCCTTCCAGCATCATGGAGCGACTCCCAGCAGAGCGCAAAACCCAAACCCCAAATCTGTTTTCATGGGTATTGTTGCTTTCCTGATTGCTTCCCTGCTGGAGGCAACAGCATGGATTGCCTCTGGGGATTGCCTAGGAGGGCATGGTCACCTCCCTGATGGCCACCGAGACATCTGGCCACCTTCATGGCCACCAGGAGATCAGAAAACTTCCTTCCAGGGACCTGAGTTCATCCATCCTTCCTCACCCAAACAGCACTCCTTCCTTCATCTGACTTCATTATGTTTTAAACCCCTAAATATCCCAGGATTTGGCCATGAACGCTGGAAGGTCTCAGAGCCATCTGATCTGCATTGCTAAGCACTGTCACCTCCTCCCCTTGCACTGCTCAGCTTAACCTCTGCCCCCTAACATTTTCAGATATATGCACAAAGCTTAATCTCACAAGGAGCCGGGAGACTCTTTCTCCCTGCAGAGGAAACAGGATTTTATGATTTTCCACTTTACGTGCCAGGATGAACCGGCTATAGCTGTTTCAGAGCTAGGGAGCTGAAAAGGGAGCGTGCCACGGGAAGGCCGTGCAGTGGGGACCCGTAGGATGGGGCTGGGTGTAATGGGACAAGCACGTCTGATGCGAAAGTTCCCCAGACTGATCCTCTGAGGTGCTGAACGGAGGTCCTCAAGGACTTCAGTGCAAATGTAGGGAGCTGAGCAGCTCCCAAGGTCGGGGCAGAAGAGCAGATGCCCTCTTTAACTGTGTGCAAGAGGGGATCACGCCTCCGTTGGGATGGGAAGCAGGGAACAAGCCAACTCTACCACAATCCTGGCTACAAGCTAATTGCATTGCCTAAGCCGGTGCCCTATGGAAAAGAGGCAAAGCCACAGGGATGGAGGAGAATTGCTGGGGAGGAAAACGTGCCAACCTCTTCCCCCCAGCCATGCAGGTCACTCTTATGGATGCCTCCAAGATGCCCCAAATATCTATCCCATGTCTGTGTGGCCCCTTTGCACTGGGCAAAAAGGACAAAGAGCAGCCAAGAAAGTCTTGGACACGGAAACAAAATCCTCCTGAGCTAGGTAATTTGTGACTTACTACGGTAATACAACCAAAGCAGCAGCCATTTCTGCATTGTAGCTCTTTCCTTACTATCAATATTTGCAAAATGCTTCCTGAAGCATTAATTGTGTGAGATTAATGGAGTGATTGCATCGGGGAAAATGCAGCATCCATTACGCAGTCCGGGCAGCATCGTGCAGGCAGCTGCGGGCAGCTGAGCTGTGTGGCCAGAGGTAGGGCTGGATGAAGTCATGGACAAGAGCAGATGCATGATAGGACAGCACTGGACAGCCAAGCCAAGAAATCTCAGCCACCACCACAATCCGGCTGAAAAGAGGGCCTGATCTTGCCCTGGGAATGGGAATTTTGCAGCAAAATCAGAGCCTGAGGGAATAAGCAGGTTGTGCTGTCCCTCGCCGCAGTTTTACCCCAGGGAAGATTTCTTGACTCCTGGTGTAATTGCTCCAGTGGGATTTGGCCAAGATAAAGGTGATGCCAAGAAGGGTGGGGATGTGGACACGCGTGTGCATGCGTGGGGAGCAGAGATAAGGAAAGGGCATAATCTGAGGCTAGGAGAAAATAACTGAAGTCATCCTGAAAGATGGATTGGCGAGAATATTCCTCTTTCAGAAACAGCAGATGGAGCGTGAGAAAGGGAACGGGTTCGTGGGAAAGAGGAGAAAGTCGGGATGGGATGGAAACATGGAGAGAAGAAAATGAGCAATGTGGTTGTTGGCCACTTTCACTTGTGTTCTTTAGCCTGGGTTTTGGGGTTTTTTTGGCTCACTCCCCTTGGAGCAAGGCTGGGTTGTTTGCAAACGGCTTTTAAAACTAAGGAATTTCCATTGCCTTGAGGACCGTGCAGAGCCCCATCCTTGGCCAGAGCCAGCCAGGCTGAAAGCAGAAAGCGAGAAGTCACTGGCCTCCAAAGCATCATTCCTGATGCTCCAGCAGAAGATCATATGTTTTGAGAAATGACAAGTACCAAAAAGTAATC